CACCGTCAAACGCACGCATTTAATGAGTTTTGCATCGATAAATCAACCAAATGCAACTATCTATTGCATTGTGACGTCATGTCATGACCGCAGCAACGTATACCCAGCAAAGCTTATCGAACATGCAGGAAAGAGTGAGGAGGTACCAAGGAATGTACTGAAATATTTGTTCCAGAGGCACATTAGTTCCAAGACTACTTCTAACATCAAGAGAAGCCACAAGGTCAGAAACAAGTGTTCTTGAAAGAGGTATTGAACTGTATTCCGAGTTATTAAATGAAGTTATTGAATGCGATCAAGTGCACGAATTATGATCTTTAAAAACTCTCCCAGACATAACAGTATGGAACTGGACATTGAAACAAAAAAGAAAAGTGTCTATGAAATCAAAATTTACAAAATGGTAACAGAAACAAATACTTACGCTATGAACAAGTTGTTCGAAATGTTGTCCAGATGACCACGGTACTTTAACCAAGGTCCTGCAGCAGAAATATGATCTGTGGTACATTTTCCTTTCACTTTGATAAGAATAGCCATATCTTCCAAGTCTTTTCCGTCCCATTTGTCGAAAGGTTTCAATAATTGGACACGTTGTGAATTTGGATCTACATCAACAGTCAAGTTCGAACCATCTTCAACAGGTGCAACATATGTGTTCTGGCCAGGGTCAAATCCTTTGTTGGGGAGTTCATCTCCGTACGGAGGACTCAGCTTGAACTTTTTACCGTCCGCTCCTGTGAAAAAAGGCATAGGTACATTCAACTTTTATTGGAATTGCTTAATGAAAACTCACCTTCGATTTCGTCTGTTAGAGGATTGAAGTCCAGTCTTCCAGCGATACTCAGTGCGGTTACAAGTTCTGGAGAGGTAACGAAGGCATGAGTGGCCGGATTGGCATCATTACGCCCAGTGAAGTTACGATTATATGATGTAACGATAGTGTTTTTCTCTCCTTTCTTAACGTCTCTTCTGTCCCATTGACCAATGCAAGGCCCGCAAGCATTGGCTAATATCTATAAAGAAAAAAAAACAATGTAATGGAGACAATGAAAGATGATAGAAATGTAGAAATTCCCAGCTAGAAAAGAAAGGTCATCAATTCAGTTTTCATTGTGTGAGGAGTTGCTTTCATAATCAAAATAGTATTGTCTAATGACATTATAGGATTAATATGTTTGGAAAAGATGTCAACCCAGCCTCTGTATGTGGATAAGCTGCAAAATTTGACTGATAAAATAACCCAAACAATCCAAAATGAGTTTTCAATTGATGTTCCATTTCACCAAGATGATGCTCCTGCTCATTGAGATGGGCTGTTTCGAGACTGGCTGAATTACAATGGACTCATTTAACATTTTTTTTTATTTCATAATTTGAAAGTTTATGTTTCAAATAGTACATCTGCAAAAAATCTGAATTTTCACTCTTTATCTTCCTCCTCAAATTAATTGTTGAATATGGCGTTCACCGAAACGGGGCGTGGTCAAGCTTGACGTCACATCAGTCAACTCGGCGACAAGGGAGTGCTGGCGGATAAGCGAAATACATGTGCTAAAACCGTAGAAAGCAAGTTGTGTGTTGTTTACTGCAGTGTCAACTGCGTGAATATGAATAATGATAAAAAATGACGTTACAAGTATTGCATCGTTCATAAATGCAAGAATTCTTCGATAACTGCCCCAGACAAAATTTTTATTTCACTGTTAGGAAAGTTATGCGGAGGACCGACTTTGCATCTACCAAGGGGACGCATTTTTGTTGCTAAGATCATTTTAATGTAAGTATGAATGATAAGGAATATTAAAAAAAATTATAGTTTACTCTGAGCACTACTTTGAATTTTAGGTTGAAACAGACTTAGAAAATTACATGTATATCAAAACTATGAAAGTGGGAAAAATTATATTGAAACCAGGCGTAATTCCGCATATATTTGATTGCCAGATTGATAGACCGACGGCCCATGCATGTAAAGCTCCACCGTTTGTTCAAAAAAAGGAAAAACAAGTTTTGTTGAATACTTATAACAAAGATATCGCTGAAAATCAAATCATGTATGATGAAGCAGGTACACATGAAAGTACCTTTGATGTTGGAATTCAAGTTAATAAACAGGTTTTTCAAAGATTAAAAGCTAAACAGACCGTAATTATTATAATACCATCGAAAAAGAAATCGTTCTGAAGAAATACAAAATACAGAAAGTATCGGAAAAAATTACTACTAAATTCCCCCGAGGACAGTGAGAGTTTGAGTACATCAGACATGACTTCTGTTGCTACATCATCAGATTGTACTTTGTCTGGAATATTAGTTGAAAACTGAAATTCGAATAATAATATTGAGCGAAGATCTATTCACGTCATAGAGAAAAATCCGAAATTATGTCTTGGAAATTCAAGGTACTCTTTATTTATTATAGAAATTTTGTCTCAAAAATGCCAGTTACCCAGACTTGATATATACATTATTTGACGATAGCAGCGACTCATAATCTCCAACTACAGGCCCGGTTGCCACCGCTCGAAGCTCGTTTGCTCGTGACGTAAAGATGTACCGCGGGCGATCTCACATTTTCAATCGCTCTTGCTCAGTTTTTAATTGACATATAAACCGGAAAATTTTGTGGAACACTTGGGAGATGATTTACTTTTATAATATATAATTTTCAATAAAAAACTAAATTAGCCTGAATGAGCCCATTATGGAAACCGGCGGCAGTCGTACAGTCCCTCAGAATGGCCTTTTATATCACCAGATATGATGCTCTCATTTTTTTTGTGGGAATTTGGGTAATCAATCTAAAGTATACATTACAACTTGAATTAGATGCTGAACAGTAGAATCAGTTAGATACTGTTGACCTTTCAAAGTTGATTGACAGGCTTATCAATAACTTTTTTCAACAAGGGTAGGTGAAAAAGTAGCCAGGGACACATTTTTTGTCATCCACATTACCGCTCAAATCAGAATTGAAATTTTCAAGTCAGTTGTGGACAACCATACTTTTGGAATACCAGTTGGAAATGTTCTGGAAAGAGCTTCGTTTGATTTGCATTAGGAAAGATAGGCGTACATGATTGTACATCAAGAACTCGAATCTTACGAGTTGTGGAAATAACTTTATTGACATATTCTTCCAAAGAATCGTCCTCACCCAGTAGTTTTGTGATCAATTTTATCAGTAATACCATCAGTATTCATCTTGATAATCCCAAATCCATTAGCACTTTCACCAGATTATCCCAAACTTCCTCCACAGAAAGAATTGATGGAATCAATCAGCAATTTTGAATTTTGTTTTCACATTCAACTTTATTTTTCATTTCTGTACTGAGGTATGTTAGAGTTACGTGGCAACATAGTTAGCTGTGTTTGAGATATGATTGGACTGCAAATATCTACGTGTCATAGGTTTCTGTTCCCTTGAGCTTTTTCAATCGGATGGCAATGTACTTCCATATGCCATATTGAATTCAGTGTTCAAAGTTTACTCAAAATTGTTTGATAAATCTGGTTCTGTAACCGCACTATCATTTTTCTCATTGATGAGTACTCGAAATATTGCATTTTTGATTAACTTCATGTGACATGCATCTTGTCTTGATTAAAAGTAGAGAGTGGGACATTCAAATCGGCCTTTTATATTATTTAGTATAATTAATGTATGAACATGCAATTATGTATTAGCCCTAACTATACCTTCTGAATTGTCATATGTCCACTGAAAGTTTTATATTGTAATCAATTCAATTCAAACTTTATTCTCACGAGTAACGGCTATATTTCTCGCTTGTGGAATAATTTTCTATTCTCAAAATCCGAAATTTGATTTCGAAGGAATTTTCCTTTATTGATAACTGAAATATTTTTTGATATCGTGCACCCCGGAGCTTCATGCATATTTTCACTCCAGGAAAACCTGTACACCAATCTTAATGAAAGAGAGTCTGCGGCGGCCATGTTCTGTGACCTATCCAATGCCTTCAATTGTGTAGGCCACATGCTACTTCTTCGCAAGCCAGACGTTTATGACTTTAGAGGATCTGCATGACTTTGGTTTGAGACATACCTTTCTCACTGGCGGCAGAATGTTCTTTTAGATGGTATTTCATCAGAGGAATGTTTCATTGGCAGTGGGGTCGAACAAGGTTCCGTTTTGGGGGTCAGTGTTGTTTCTAAGTTATGTCAATGACATAGTCCATATTGACATAAGTGGTAAATTCACATGTTTTGCTGATTGGTGCGATTCCAATCTCTTATCATTCAACATGGACAAAACAAATGTGGTCACGTTTAGATGTAACATAAGGGAAGTACACTTGGAAAACGTAAAAATTGAAAATTTGGAGATAAACCACATTTTTAGGGCTCTACACTGATGAAAATCTAAAATTTGATTCCCATGTCGACTACTCATGTAAAAGACTAGCAGCAGGATGCCAAGCAGTGAGAGTTGTTGCAAGAGAGTTAGATACTACTATTAAAAGATTAGTTTATTTTGCACAAATTGAGTCTTATTAACGTTATGGAATTTATTTCTGGGGAGACTGTGCACAATTTAGTTTCAATATGGTATTGTCTCTACAAAATAGATCCATCAGATATTTATGCAAGGCTAGCTACAGGGACTCATGCAGCCCTTTATTTGTAGAGCAAAAAATTCTGACCTTAGTTTGTCTTTTCATTTTGGAAACAGTCTTATCCACAAAAAATATAAAAATAAATTCAACACCACCCCAACTAATAGTACACACCAGTCTTACTTCATTTCCCTTCCAACACCTACTCTAGCCCTTACACAAAATTCTATTATTTTCAATAGCAAGAAGTTATTTAATCGCCTTCCCATTAATTTAGGGCAAATTAATACACAATGAAAAGAATTTCAGAAAAAAGTAAAATAATTCCTTGTTTGGAGACCCCATCATAATATGGACGAATTCTACCAAGGCTCTATCGAGTAATTAGCACATAGTTTTGTGTAAACAAGTTATTGACAAAACACGAAATGGCTCAATGTTCATCACATAGCATTATTTATTTACATTTACTCAATATTCATATATTCATGTACTTTCATAGCTTGTGTTTGTTAATTTAATATAAATGTTTTACTTTACTAGACTTTGCCAATAAAATGTTCAAACCTTGAGTAATGAAACATATTTTCATGGAGAGAAGCCCTCAACTGAACCATGAAGAAAAATCAACATAATATATTCTAAAGCCAGTTTTTGGATTTGGAAACAATTCTGAAATGATTATTATTCACTTACCGTTCCTCCAAATTCTGTCAATGTTTGAGAAATACCATCTCTTTCAATTGTAGCACGGATCTGTTCTGATCCAGGTGTGACATTGAAAGGAATTTTTGATTTAACACCGTGTTTCATTGCTTCTTTGGCGATATTAGCACAACGTCCCATATCCTCATAGGAACTGTTGGTACATGATCCAATAAGACCAACTCTTATATCAACAGGCCAATCATTCTTTTTGGCATTTTCACCCAATTTGCTGATTGGACTAGCCAGATCAGGGGTGAATGGCCCATTCACATGTGGTTCTAGGGTGTCCAGGTTGATTTCAATAATATGATCATACTTCGCACCTGCAATTATGACAAAAACAAAATAAGTATAGTTACCCCAAGTGTACGAGTTCCAAAGTGATCCTACCTTCATCTGGGCTAAGGAGAACACTCTTGTACTTATCGGCTTCACTTGCAATGTCAGCTCGACTGGTGGCTTTCAAATAATCAGACATACGACTGTTGTAAGGGAACACTGACGTAGTTGCACCGATTTCAGCACCCATGTTACAAATAGTTGCCATACCCGTGCATGATACAGAATCGCAACCTGGTCCATGGTATTCTATAATAGAACCGGTACCTCCTTTCACAGTCAATATGCCTGCTAACTTGAGAATGATGTCTTTTGGTGATGTCCAGCCCGATAGTTTTCCTGAATTGAAAGAATAGAATAGAAGAATAGAATTTATTCGTCATTAAAATATCATACACATATAACATATTCATTACTGGTACAATATTTATCAGACTAGTCACACAAATTGAAGAAAAAGCAGCTTATACATTCAAATCTAAAAATTCTATGACATTGTAAAGGGCATTTTCTAGGAGAAGGTCTATTGAAGCTTTTTTGAATGTATTGTTATTTTCAATATTTCCTAGTAACCTATTTGCTTTGTTATAACATATGACTCCTTGATAGCTTGCCGAGTCTTGCCCAAGGGCTAATTGTGAGAAAGGTAGTCTCAGTTCATTTCCTCTGCGAGTATTGTGATCATGTATCATACTGTTTTTTGTATGGTGTGATTCATTTCTTTTGATATTCATAGTTATGAGCAAAATATATAAAGACGGTAGTGTTAAAATAGCTAAATCTTTAAAAACTGTCTTGCATGATTGTCTACAATGTATGCCAGCGATACATCTAATTATTTTTTTTTGGATAACAAACACTTTTGTTAGGTATGCTGAGTTTCCCCAGAATATTAACCCATTTGAGATATTAGATTGTACGAATCCGAAATAAGTCAATTTGAGTACTTCTAGAGATACTGTTCCATGTAGTTGTCTAATTATGAAGCAGACTCTACTCAGTTTTGTTATTAGAGAGATGAATTAATTTCCGAAATCATGCATTATGAATAAATTATCCCCATTTATCTATTAGCAAATATTCTAACCTGCAAGGTGACTTGGAATTTTGTTAACAAATATTATCAGAAATGTTTGAAAAATGGAAAAAAACTATGAAAGACATCAAAATACCTGTTGAAACTGGCTCAATGACAAAATTAAAAACCACAACATCAAATTTGAAGAGTACAGCAAAATCTAATGATTACAGGAAACCCGATGATGCAGAATATAGATCTATTATAGAAAGTTCAAATTTGATAAAATCTCCAGGTTTAGATTGAATTACTCCAGAAATATTAACATCATTGAAAGTTCATTTCGGACTAGAATATGGACAAAATCATTTGAAATTGGTTCCATAAAGCCGTGTCAAAAAAAACTCATTTCTACTTTGGTTAAAGTTTTTGAGAAAGTGTTGAACATTAGAAACGAAGATTACATTGAAAAATAATTTTAACTATCACAGAAACAATTTGGTTTCAGAAAACGTACATTGATATAAAATTTTGCCACCTGAATAGTTATACTCAATACTCTTCAGACAAAAATTCAACTTCTCAGTAAATTTCTTGATCTAGCTAGCAAATTGTTCTGGTATTCGTGGTGCCGCTACCTAAATGGCAGAAATCAGTTGGTTAAAAATGATGATAGTAATAACGAATATTGAGTATTTCATTACTGGTCGTTTGGGTCCCATTCTGTTCATTATGTATCTTAACAATTTGTTGATTTTGACTGTGAAGGAAGAATTTCATTCTTTTTCAAATGACACGTTGATTAATATCATATACTTTATCAATTTGGATTATTTTAAAAAGGTAGAGATTTCACAATAATTAAAAATTGGCACACTCCATCTATTATACTCCACCAGTTAAAAATTGATAGGATCACAATTTATCCACGATAAGTTTTGAATAAACAAAATATCTTTCGGTGTCAAAGCTATTTTACGGATTATTTGGCCGTGGTCTGAAGGTTTTAATGCCTGACGAAGTGCACGAGTTAGTGGTCGAGTTGTTGTTCCCATTGTTCCCAATTATCTACCACCAAATCAAACTTGAAAATGTCAGAATTCTAAAAGAAACTCGTATGAACTATCGCGGAATTTTCATTGCAAGCCATTTGACATGGAACTAAAGATTTTAATTCTTGATTAGGAATTCAGGCCAGTAGGCCGTTGACAAAGGCAGACATCATCAGTGGTATGTGTGTTAACTGCACGGACAAACGTTATATCTCGAAGTCTCAGCAACGTCTGAATTGAAATCTTGTTAAAAAACTCAAAAGTCTCCCTCTGAAATTTTAATTTCTGAAATAATTTCAGAACATTCATCATTTGAATATGCTCTAATTTTCTTTGATACAATCTCAACTCAATTAAGGAATTTTAGTACGGGAAAAGTTGAGCAAATTAATCTTTATAATCTAGAAATAATTCAGACCACTATTATAATATTCATGCAGTCATTGTTCACTGTGGTTCTGGCGTTGAATCTGGTCATTATTACACATTGGTCAAAGACGAAACGGACTGGTTTAAATTTGACGATAATCGTGTCAAGTGTTCTGGCGATGTATTGAATTTATTGGAGCCTCTGGAGAAACCTAACATTTTGTTTTATAAGAGAGAGGACATTGGCAGATCAAGATCTTCAGATGATGTGGTGCTGCAGGTTTTTCTGGGTTTTCCTGCAGCAGAAAAAGCAAATGCGCCACTGGAATCAATGAGGTTGCCTCGGAGCGCCAGTTAATTTTTGTTGTTGTTTTATAATTTCATGATTTGTATTTTGGAAGTGTTAATACATCATTGTTTAATTGGACAAATTCCAGAACGTAATTCAGAAACGTATTTTGAAAATTATTTATTATACTTTCCAGCGCCTTCTTATACAGGGCTATTCAAATTAATTNGATGGGGGTGGCCCAAGTCAGATGACACCCTGTATAAAAGATTCATGGATATATTCTGAGAGCCCACATCAAGTGCCAATAGCAAAATGTGGACAGATTTTCAATATGTCTGCGAATAAAGAAGATATAGGCAAAACAATAATTTGGGATTATTTGGTTTTTCCTGTGTATCTCCAGAACCAAAAGAGCTATAATCGATTTCTTCACATCATTGAATAGGTCTCTAAAATACGCATCTTTGCCATAATTTAACCGACACTCTATTTCTTATCATTTACGAGATCCCCCTGTACAGAAACGAATTTGAATAGCCCTGTATATAGAAAATGAAAAATGGATCTTCATCAATTCTGGAATATCCAAGGTTTCCCAGTAACATTTAAATATGTATATGTATATATTCATACAAGAGACATTAAAATGACCAAAAATTAATTCTCTTTCAAAAATGAAATTGAAAGTGGGATACTTGAGAAAACTAAAGAATTGTTAATATTTGAATAACCTCATTTTGTTAAGAATGGTGGTTTTTTGATCACTTGATTGCTTTAATATCTTTTTTATCTTCTTTGTGTAAGTAATTTTACTGATACGATATGAAACCCTAACCACTAGTTTACTTCGTGATGTTGATTTAGTTTATTCATCAGCATTTCATGATTCCCTTATATTGTTGAATGTATAAATTGAATAAACTTACATTTTTTCTTTTCTCGAAAATTAAGCTGGTCAGGCCCTCTGCCAATACACGCGGAAGGTCGCGCCATCATCATTTGCCAATGACCTCGCCCCAAACCGTGCGTTAAGTGACCATTAGGTCCGAGAATCGGACGCTACTTTTTTATTATTGAAGAATATGTGAAGTAGCTCAGCCAAAAATTTCTGGTGTTTCCAATACTCATATAAAAAGTATTGCTACTGAGGTCTTTTAGACGACTGAGGTAACTTTTTCGAAGCCAAATTTGAATAATTGAATCAATCGCCTAAATAATTTGTATTTGATTACTCAAACACCTACCTGTTAGTCGAACACCAATGACTTTGGGACATTTCAATTCCCAGGGAATATTAGCCATTACATCTACAGCGTCAGCACCCCCAACTCCAATACAGAGGCCACCAAGACCTCCCCCATTTGGTGTGTGGGAATCAGTTCCGATCATCAAAAGACCAGGGAATGCATAGTTTTCCAGTATAATTTGATGAATGATACCTGAAAAATAAAATTTACTGCCGATCGATATTTCCAAAAAAAAAACATGTTCACTAATAAGTTTGCATAAAACGTGATTTTTTTCATTCACTCAGTAACTTGAAAAGGAACATTTTTATACTTCAAAAGGTTCCTCAGAATCTTAATGAGAATGCACTCAAAATTATTGAGAAAACACACTTCAATGTGAGATTTCCACTTGAAATTTTACAAAACGGCGACACGTGTTTCACTGTAATATAGCATCTTTAGGCCTCACAATACTGTTTTTACAAATTCTGTGTCGAGCTTTTGTAGTAATTTGAATCCCTTGTTTACTGAAATTTTCATGGACAACCTATAGAATAAAATGCATACCGATCAACTGATACAGATATGTACTGGTATAGTTCAAGTAAACGATATAGTGCAACCTACCTTCCAACAGCTCCCCTTTAATAATATAGTTAGTAAGTAATTTATATACACAAAAAAATTNTTTTCAACTAAAATTACTTTTTAAATCCTTTTCTGTCAGTCTTCTTCGGTGATATTAGATACTTCTTCTTCAATTAGCTCTATTACCTACTTATCAAATGTTGGAAAATTATTTTTACGTTTGATGCTTCGTTTCAATTTTCCCCAAATCAACTCGATGGGAATGAAAACACAAAAATAGAGGGAAGTCTCTGTATGGTGTGTCCATACTTTTCAGCAATACTCTCAAGGGCATACACTTTTTCAAATGTTTTTGTCTGTAAAACTTCAAGTAGTTGATTTTTGGTAGTCATCTTCAAAATACAAATTGTTTGTTATCCATTAAAAAATTTGTACTTCATATTTCCTCGAATTTTTATTCGGTACTTTCATGAGCTGTCGCGAATGATAGGAAGCGTTGTCCAGTACTATTACGCTATTCGCATCCAAATTTGGGATCAATGTATTTTCAAACCATTCCTCGATTGCAGGCATGTTAGACTTACATATTCTCGAACCATCAGTCCACCCTTTCGTAACTGTCTCGTGAGTGTCATACCAAGTTTCGTCCAAATAAAAAATTTGCCGTTGTTCTTGTCTATATTTAGTTATTTGCATAGTTATTTGTTTCAAATATTTGTTACGCAATTCCACTATTCTTCTACTTTCCATAACTGCTTGACGTTTGTTTATTATTTTAAATCTAAATCCTAGTTTCTTTATCCAATTCTGAAGAATTTTGTCACTGCAGCTCACGCTATGGCCGGAAGTAAGTATTCAATTTCTTCCTTATGATTTCAGTTGTAGGAATCTCATTGCTTTTGAAACAGTCGTATATTGTTTTTTCAATGATATTATTAGTTGAACATGTAGAGGTTTTGGTAATCCTGTATCACATCACGTCTTGTTTTGATAAGGTTTGTTTTTGACTATTTTACTTACAGTTGAGAAAAGAATTTCGGTCAAATCTGATGTATTTGTAATAGTTTGTTTTCCTCGAAACCAAACTTGAGGTGTAGATTCTCATATACATTGAAACAGAATCTCTGTGTTTCAATATTCAAATGCATCTGTCCACAAAACATGATTTTGCAATTTTTCACAAACCATCTTACTTGGACATCACTATACACAATTCATCTTTACATCCATAACAACATTAAGTAGCAGCATTCACAGTTCACAGACTATTGAATATTCCAATTTCAGAAGGCAATTTTCAAAGAGAACTGATTTTCATAAAACATATTGGTATCAACAACGTTTACGAGGTGGATATTATTGACTCAGTTCTTTTTAAAAAATTGCAGAAACAACCTCCAAACCATGTTTTTTCAGTTTCAAAGAATGGTACTAAACATTATGTAACTCTAACTTACTTTGGTGATCTTACATACATAAAATTGCTCTTGTTTTAAAAGGCAAAGAAATGGACGTAGCCTACAGAACACCTAATAATAATTTTTGAGTAAATTCATTTAAAACAATAAAAATAAAACTTCAGCGTCGGATAGAACGGGAGTATACGAGTTGACTTGTGGTTCTTGTCCAAAATTTTATATTGGACAAACCGGAAAAACTTTTTCCAATCGAATAAGGGGTCATAGAAGTAGTTTTTTGAACGGAAAGATCAACTCCACATTTGCGAATCATCTTTTGACATAGGAACATAGGTTCAATCACAATGATGACGTATTGCATTTGAAAGAGAAAGGTTCAAAACTCAATCTTTTAGAATGTTTAGAAATCGAGATTATTGCTAAATAATCAAATAGATTTGAATTGTTCCCATTTATTGAATTCAGTTTGCAACAAGGAAATTGGTAATTAGGACATATCTTAAAAGTAGATAAAATGATAGCTCAGTTAAAAATTGTTATTTATTATTCTCAAGTCTCATGAGTTGTTCCTAGATAGGTGAATGTTTAGGTAATGAATTCATCACGTAGAAATTTGGCAGGTAGAAATATTCATAATGATTCAAATTACTATTAAAGCACGACACATAATTTGTACAAACAGTATTGTGACGCCCAAAGATGCTATTGCATAGCGAAACACGTGTCGCAGTTTCCTAAACTTTCAAGTGGAAATCTCACATCGAAGTGTATTTTTTGAATAGGTATGTTATAATGGATTCTCGTCAGGTATCGATCAGCTCTATCATATTACTCAAAGTTAATATACATACATACCTGACCCAGCTGTCCAAAATCCAACGCCATATTTGTTACAGGCAGATCCTAAGAAATTATATACTTCTTTGTTAACTTCTATACCTCGAGCAAGATCTTTCGCTCCTCCTTCATGAGCTACAATTAAATGGTCTAAATGTATGGTGCTTGGTACAGCTACCCGCTTCAGACCACTAGAAATGAATTGCAACATTGCCATTTGTGCCAAGGCATCTTGCATAGCCACTCGATCAGGGCGTAATCTCAAATAAGATTTTCCTCTTTCAATATCCTATAGTAATAATTATTACTGATAAATCACTTATGGACAAAATGCACACATGTCAATGAATGATGGTGGTAGATGGCATACCCCGATTAGAGGGGAAAGAAAATACAATTTTCAATGTTTGATTATTTTGAATAGGGATCTGGGTATTTATGAACATTTCGTGTTGTTTTTGTGTTGATTCTTCACCCTGAATTCACTGAAGTATCAATAAATATCATACACATTTTTTGTATCAAGATGGAGTAGTAGAAAGCCAAAAACAATAATGTATAATTAAGCAGACCTTATACATCATAGAAATGATTCAACAAATTTATATTTTTGATTCAAAAAAGTATTACTCGGATCTTATTATTATTTTATCAATAATACGAATTTTATTCAAAAATAATGATCAGAGTATGATCTTTTTTTTCGCTTATGACTCGGTATTGAAAAAAAACACTAAATAAATTCAAAACTTCCACATAATTTTTTTTTATTACACTTATGATTTAAATTTTTTATTTTCGATTTCAAACATCTGCAAGAAACTGTTCCGTCTAAAGCGAAGCGACCACATGAGTGGACAAGATCTAACAGTTTAGTAAATATATCAAGTGAAATACTGTTTTTGGTAGAATGTTGGAGTATTTGGAAAGCTGCATATCATTCATCGGCGAACCGAAAAACTTCAATACCATTTTCATTTACTACATTGTGCAAAATTTTTCGAGAAAGATATATGTTTGAATGTACATTATGAAAGTTTGATACAAAAATTTACAAAAAAAATTGAGTTCTGGTGAAAGATAATTCAGTGAATAAAAAATGTGTTTGAAGTTAAGGGATATTGGATAAATAATTCATCGCCCCAAACATATGATATAAAATTGGCAATCATAATAATAATTTATTTGACCATTTCAGTACAATAACTGCATATGGTAAGTCAAAAAACCAAAAATAGACAATTACAAATAACAACAATGTCTCAAACAAAACGTATACAAAAAAACTACAGAGTAGCTTAAACTATCGTTCAAGTATTCTTTCTGGCCGTAAGAGCACTTTTTAATGAGAAGAGATTTGAGCCAGTTGCAAAACATACCATTCCATTCCAATCGTGTAATCGAATTTGGCAGTTTATTATAGAAGGTGATTGCACTATAAAGCGGTGACTTTTTTAAAGTTGTCTTGTGGGTGGGTATTCACAACGGATTGCCGTGACATGTGAAAAAGATATTAGAAAACCCATTGATCAAGAAAGCTATCTTAATATTCCATAACAAAAATCATTTTCATAATCTGTCTTCGAACTATTGGTACCCTATCGAAATATAAACTTCAGCCCCAAGACATGATACTCAGGAAAATATGTGAGTAAAAAGATATCTGTTAAAATCTGTTTTTTGTTAACCCGCTGTCGCTGGTTACAAATTAACTTTTTATCGTGCGATTTCCAGAACTATATAATTTTTCATTTGTTTTATTGCAAAAAATTATTGATTGAATGAGCTTTGCAGGCTCATTGATATAAAAATGCCAATTTTAGGACTCATTCAATATTGTGCCTAAGAATGTAATTTTCTATGACATCTCTATTTCATTGGAAAACAGTAACTCTTTACTACTGTTTTTTTTTCAATTACATTTATTTAATGTCGCATCAACCTTGAGGGATATTAGCGACAATTCAAATTTCATACAATAAATTTCATATACGGTGCAGAAGCTTTATACGTCTTAGAAAGGCAATTAGTTTTTCATTGTTACAATTTTACTATTGTTTACTTTACTATTGTTTTTCTTGTTGTGAACAAAACAACAAAATTATTAACGTTTGAATGAAGGTGGTTGACAATGTTTCATGGTGTATTTCATCAGTTCGGACTTCCATTGTCTAATATAATATAAATTGATTTGAAATCTCTGAAAGAATCTGTAAAAAAATTAAGGAAAGGATACGAAGGATTGGATTCAAGTATAACATTAGAACCTGTTTCAGATCTGGGAACATTATCCGTAGCAGCCTCAGGAAAACCAGGAATTGCATTTACCGGATACCCTGCGAGTTCCGAGAATCATACATCGGTGAAACTAAGAGGCTATTAAAAGTGCGCAATGCCGAGCATAAAAAAGACACACACAGCGAGGAGAAACCAGCAAATCAGAAATAGCAGAGCATGTTTGGACTCATCAACATAACATCAAGTGAGCTCAAGCTGAAATCATCCACAAGGAGGAACACTGATTTAGTAGAAAATTCAAAGAAGTTGCATATATGTTGTCCAACAACGCATTTAGCCAAGCTAGCGTAGAGAAACGTAACATATGGGAAACCTCTAATCAAGCGGAACACGACCAACTCCCGTCAAACGGTCAGCTTTCGCTAAAACCGATGAAGCGTAGAGAAGGAAGAGGGGATAGGTGAAAGCATTTGAACGATCTATAGTCAGCTCTCTGAGGAATAACTCCTGTTATCACTCGAAGACGATTGTGGATACTAACAATCGAAACGTCTTGAAGTGATTTGGTTTGGAATTTTTTTAATTTTCAATTTTCATTTCTTGTTAATAATTTTTTAATTTTCATCTATTGATAATTGTTCTTTTTTTTTATTTTTTGGTCGTTGCTTGTATTTTATTTTATTGTAATTTTCAGTTTTTTTGCTTAATACAACTGTTACTTTTCAGCTAATCTCTGTTTTATTTTGTTAAAGATTCTTTCAGGTATTTCAAATCAATTTATATCATATTAGACAATGGAAGACACAACTAATGAAAATTATTAACATCTAAGTTGGAATATATGTTTATGAGAAAGTTTTGAGAAGTTGTTTAAATGGAATGTTTTTTTTAAAGCCATGGAGATTGTTGAATAACAATTCGTTGATTTCCAGATAATGCATTATTCTATTGCTGAAATTTGTTCATACATTTTTGATAAACAGTAATAAACCAAATAATTCATATTACTATTTGGAGGTTTATACATGCGTATGTTAACAATTTTTACACTATCGAAGTAAATACCATATATTTCAAATTGTCCTCAGTGGATAATTCTATTGATATAATTTCTCTGCAATCAATGTCTTGTTTTGCCAAGATACAAACTTCCCCCTCGAATATAACTCCTTCTATAATAAATGACTGCCATTTTGTCATTTCTGAAATACACATCAATAAAACAATCATAACTTAACCAATGCTCAGAAAAACAAACTACATCTATATTATTACTTTTCAAAAAAGTTCAATCCAGTTAAAGTTATTTGAAAATCCTTGGACGTTAACATGACCAATCTTTGTGTAAAGCAAAAACTGTAAACTAATATACTTATTCTCCAACTTACGAGCATTATCTCGAGCTGTTACAATGTTCTGACACACTTTATTTGGATATTTTATCGCTCAACATGTATGAAAGAAATCCATGTGAAAAGTAACTTTTGACTAATATTTTTAAAACTCGACTACTGTTAGTCCTAAACAAATGGATCAAAAGTGTCAATGAGCACGAAGTCTGAAAGGCCTATGTATTTAATCTACCCATCAAGATTGAATTTTCCACCCCTCACATGCTGCAAAGAAAGAATATGGCATATATATGATGAAACGAAACTATCTTGAGTTTCTGGAAAGTTTGATTCCAAAGGATAGTGATTTTTCATAAACTACATCTTACGATTTGATCTCCACAAATTTGTGAGGAGAGTAAGATTTTTATAATAGCCGAAAGTCCCAAAGTGTAATCGATCACGAACATTTATTTTCTCTCTAGGGTTAAGACTTATAAAACTCATTTGAAAATTATGTTATATGGTTAATTTAAATATTGTAACCTAGTTATGGCCCTGAATTCAAAGAAATTAATTCTTGCAATATTTCCTTGTCGCATAGTTTAATTATCCATTTTGAAATACTAGGTCACAATAAGTGAGAAGTTCTTTCAATTGATGTTTGACATTAAGTGCTATCTACTGGAATTCTTATTAGTAAGCTTCACTCATTGCAGTCTATATTGACATCCCTTTTATTAAATATTCCTTATTTCCTTAATTTTGTGAATTATGAAATATTTAGTTTCAAAATGATGCCTTTAACTATGTACATAGTCATACATGTAAATATCTCTTTTTGTAAGAAACTGAACCCTGAGGCGTATTGCACATCTTGATACCAATTTGGAATCATGCGAAATGCAATACCTACTCTTTGACGCATGTTTCACCATCCAAGTTAGTGTGGTGATTGGAAAAACTGCTTGCTTTGAATTTATTTGACGCCAGAAGTTCCAGTTTTACCTTTTATTTTGTCATTTTGGACATTAAAAAGTAATACAAGTCTTGGATGATACACAAGTTGCAATAAAGTTGGAGATAACCGTAAAGTTTCAGTCTACAAATAGCATGTTAGCATGGATCACAATCATATCTGAACGTTTATCTTTCATTAATATTTACATTACAATTCATAAGAGACTGCTGACTTGCTCAAAATTATCTATCGCAAACATGCGATGCCTGGATGTACGGTTTAGATAGGCGAAGTAAAGTTTTTTGGGATAATGATGAAAATGGAGCAGTAATATTCACCAACTATCTTTAGTAGATAACCCAAAAGAGGGAGAGAGAGAGACTATATTCTTATTATCTATAAAAATTAACATCCTGTTGACAAACACTTACATAGTATGCGAAATCAGAATGCTAAAATTATTCAAATATAAAAATATTAAATGAATTAAACATTATTTCGTAATCACAGATATAAAGTCAAATTTCTTGAATTATTTTAACATGCAATTAGTCCAAATTATAACATATTCCAGATCAAGATAATTTTAAATATGTTACATAATTCAGTGTCTGAGTCAGTAGACCTAATGATTTATTACACATTTCAATAGAAAATATTTATTCATCAAACTAGATTGAGGCCATCTGCTGAGCAGGTGTTGTACTATTTTCGGAGTAACACTGTCATGGAATGACTTACATGAATCTCTCCTTTTTGATTTGCATACATTCAATTGAATACGTTTTCCACTACATAAAACTCAAAATTATATTCCTTGCTGCGATTGCGATTCTACCATGGCATTATATACATTTTAGATTCACTGATACTCTCATTCCTAAATAATATGCTGGATAGTTCGAATTTTAAAGTAAGATTTTTTTTACTGTATGGTGTTGAAATTCTACAAAGAAAGTAAAATCACAACCAAGTGAACTCTTTACAACTGAAATTGCCATCATGTATTATAAATCTTTCGTATCTGATCTGTTGGTCACTATGTTATGATCAAAACTAACAAAAACTGGATAAATACAAACTATTTGAATATTGTGATTATAAGGGTTAATTCCAAGTAAATTGAGAAATTCCTAAAATTACCTATACCCTCAGCTGAATTTATCCATGCTATTAGCCAATACCTTTGCTTTAGAGAGGTAGACGTAAGAGACTATCAGCAAAAATACGCCAGCCGATAATTAAAACTCTGCTAAAATGATATCCTATCTCTAGGAAGAAAAAAAGGTGCCATATATGAAAGTTTAATTACAAATTTTGAATAACGAACAAAAAATTCACAATAAAACTGGAAAGTTTAATGACACAAACATAAAAATTAAAGGGAAAATGGAACCCCAAGAATATAAAAAAAAGGCATACATTATACAATTTTTTAACTCGTGCATTGTTTGAATCTGCTCCTCGATCAATTATAGAAAAAACTAAATTACATACACATTGATAAAAACTTCATCGTGAGAGTTTTACCTATACAATTTACAAAGCCAAAACACGTGTTTCAATATATAATAGCTCAGTCTAAAATAAGGTAAGTGAAATCTAAGTAATTTTACCGGTATTCCCCTAACTAACCCTAATCAAAATCTTTCAAATTATTACCATCTTCATCATTAGAAAAAAAATCATTTCTTGAACATATAGCACTTCAGAGCAAGTTTTATTATTTTCTCCTTCAAATGTAAAACTTCAAAATATTGACTAACATTATGCTTCTCTACCAAAAGATAGTTTCAAAATGTTGAATTTGTAATCTTGTTTGAAAAACTACCACTGGGTTTTCTTGACCTTCTGGAAAATATTTGCCTGAGCGGTATAAAAGTTAGATCAGAATCACAAATCAACTTATATAATTCTGCTGCCCTGCAGCAAAGGGCATTAGAATACCCAGTGGAGATAACAGTCCTCTTAAATGATGTCTCATTCTAAGAAGTTTGTATGTGTGCCGAAAGAATGTATACTATGAACTCACTCAGTCACTAACAGAACTTTTGAGATACTGGGTGCCCTCTTGTCATAGAAGACTTTGTCATAGAAGACTTTGTCATGAAAATGCGGGGTGCTGCTGATGAACTTTCTTTTCCTATGTGTAGCAACCTATATGGGCCATGAAGTAATAAAACAATCCAAACCCAAGTCTACAAAAGAGATGGACATCAACTAAGTGACCCAAACTGTCCTTCCTGTAATATCAGAAAGAGCAAGAGTTTCCCAGTTCTGAAACTCTGGAACAAACCTAGGAGGCTAGATGGTACAGCCAGAAAACATCTCATCGTCTTAGGGAGAAATGTTCTTTATTAAAATTCAATAGTATTTTTTGCAATACACTTATCATAGATTTGAATTCGTGTACTTTTAGAACATATACATTCAAAAGCGAAAAAAAATACAATATTAGCCTTTGGGTCTACATTTGGACTTGGTACCATCAATGGTTCCCATACTTTAGGGCCCCTCAACTGAGTTCTCTGCAAGAATAAAACACGTTTCAGCAGTTCAATAAAAAATTTGGACTGAACCACCCAAATATTGCTTTATATGATACTCAATTTCAGTTGTGAATAAGAATGATTAGGTATTTATATAAAATTTAAAAATTATCTAGGATTCATTATACCATTATTATGTGTTTTTCTCTCTCTCTCTCTCTCTCTCTCTCTGGTAATTAATATAAAAAAGATGCAACATAACCTACCTCATCGGACCAGTTATGTAATCTCATGAGACTTGCATTATCAGTCTTCATATAGTATATTTTGAATTTCTCAATTGCATCATAATGAAATTCAAACAACCTTTGAATCGAATATTATTCTAAGGTTATTGAACATACTCAACATTTCAAAAAAAAAACAAATGACTTTTCTATTTCCTATTTTTTGTAAATACCTGTGTTGAAGGCTGATCAATATGAGAATACAAAACTTTCTCAGATAAGGTTAGAGGCCTTCCCAATCTTTTCTTCACAACTTCAAGATTTTTCGTAAGTTTCTCATATGGCAATGGGTTTTTATCAAATTTGCTCATAGCAACTTTGGCCGCAGCTGCGGTTAGAGGTGAAATGTGGAAGCATCTTGACTGTATCTCAGAGAAAAAAAGGCTGCTGGCTTTGCCTCCCTGAAAACAATTATAAGTATTTTAATTTCAATACTGTCAAAAATACACAATGCATGCTTCAAAGTTACTTGCTAAAAATCCAAGTCAGATTTAAGTGGTGTTATTGTAAATCTCGCTATATTGGTTTTTGAAAAAAAATGAGAATCCATGAAAATATGGAAGGAAGCAAGCATAGATCCAGCATCCTCTGCTCCCTAGGATTTTTGCAATATTACGCCTCATTGGGTTATATAATTAGGATTTCAACCCATATATTAAAAAAAATTAAAGGTTCAAGAATTTTGAGGTTCACAATTTCTGAAAATGAAGTTATGTAATAATAACAAAGGTTGATGTACTTTCTATAAAGTACATTGATCACCTGATCTTCGGCGTTTCCCCATAATTGTAATTTATCAATTTATAAATATATTTTTGGTAATTAACTAGATTTTCAAGGGAAATAAGTACCATTATTTTCATTGAGTAAATTTTATATCACTCACCTGGCGATGCAAAACTCGCATACAGTACGCCATGGTTGCAAAACTATTAAAAGCAAGACTAAATTAAGAAAACTTGGAAAACACAATTCCGAAGTCAATGTCCAAATCGGAATGATCGGCACGAAAGAACAGTAAAAAAATTATCAAAAATAAAATTGCTGGTGGCACGTCACGTCGGTACTATATATAGGTACGAATATACCAAGGATACTAGACTTTTCCGAGGATGGTTCAATCACTAATTCTGCGCTGCATACATGTTGAGCGTTGAGCTGTTAATATGACGGAAGGTATCACAGTGACGTCATTGTCTTGTCATCGATCTAAGATTGTGATTTTTTTCAAATTGATATGGTAATTTTGTAGTGTAATGTATAACAGATTGTGAATTACGATGTTAATGTTTTGGTTTAATTTTTGAAATGCCGTTTATATGGTTATGGTTTAGAATAACATACTATAATTTTATATAATAACATACTTTTTGAGGCAAAGTTTCATCTCCCTTTGATTTTCAGAACTATATTTCTATATCAGTACAGTAAATACAGTTGTGTACTGGATGGCCACAGTTTAGAACATAAAACAAGAAAAATAAAAAAGTGCCGTACCTTCGTCAGAGGAGTAGACACTGACCAAGGCCAACGCCTCATGTCATATTGCATTCTATGCATGGCGTGACGTGTCGCGTGATAGCAATAGATTATAATGAAGATACGTTCGGAAAGTAAAAAGAAGTGTGGTTCAGTTTTCCTCTTCTTTTCGGACGACATTCATCTCATCGGGAGCTGAAAACTCCACGACGAATATCGTCTTGCTCTGATGGTCGAGAAGAACTTGATCAGGCTCATAGCTTGCATGAGCCACAACTGATTCAATATCCCCCGGAGCGTTGGGCAACACCAATATTTCGTCAATACCGTGAAAGGGCCACGTTATGTCGATGGATATAGGCTGAGACCGCATATGCTGGATATGTTAACAGCAAATGCATTAGGGTCTCAGGCGACTTGCGGCAGGCCCTGCACCTTGTGTCAGGAACATCTAAAACCGTAACGCGACTGCGGTAGACTAAGCTGTTAAAGACACCATCCCGGCAGGCCATTATTTAAACCATCAGTTTCCGACTTCAGCCCACTCGATCCCATACATTGGCTTATCCTTGTGTTGCGCAAGAGTGAGGTCATTTCTGTTGCTTTCATGTGAGCCTTTTGCTGAACGAGTTCCAATTTCCGTGACAGAGTTGTGATCACCTCGTTCGGTGTCGAAAACTGAACCGAGTTCATCAGCCTCCGGGCAGCTGCTCTAATTCCTGCTCTCCCATGGTCGCCGGCCATGCAGAAAAGGGGATCCAAACTCCTGATGACTTTACAGGCTCCATCCAGTACCTTTCTGACGTGTAGACATTTCAAACTCAAAAGTCCACGGCCTCCCTATCGTCGGGGAAGATACAAGCATGGAACAGACGATTTGTCCTATGAAGATGCATAATTTTTCGGGTCTTCACGTCGAGTTGATACAGCTCCTCCCGAGTTCAATCCATTACTCCAAACGAGTAGAATAAGATTCGAAAGGCGATCCCGACAATTCCGATGACCGAATCTGTCGGAGTTTTTGTTGATACTTGCCGCGGAGAGAATTATTTCTGCTGTTACCTCTTGTGAGCGGAATTGTTCCACCTCGAAGTAAGTATACGTCTCTCCAGCATCCACATTGTGCAGGAATCTTTCATCTACGAGCTGCACATCCTCTCTTTAATCCCCGCATCGTCCTCTTTCAAGATGGACTGTAGCACATTTATTTATCCCGAATTACATACCGATAGCATGAGTGTACTCTTCCACCACATTCAAGCACCAATGGGGATCCTAGAGGCATGAAGTTTAAGATCATCCAGTTTTAACATCGAGTACTTCTGAGTGCAACGGATAATGACAATAGTGAGATGTAGAAAAAAAGGGACTGAGTGAATCACCCCGAAACACACCTCTTTTGAAAAAAGCTCGCTCTGTTTGGACTCGAGCCTGACCAGATGTTATGATGAAGTGAGTCCGCCAGAGTGGTATCAGTTGTTGAAGGCATCTCAATATTTTGTCGGGTACCGTAAGGTACCGCATCTGAGCAGATGCAAGATGCCATAATCGATCCAGGCCATAGAGAGCTTATGCTGATTCTGTATCGAGTCCTGCGTTACACATCTGTCGATGAGCAGGTTCTCTTCACATCCAGCGACTCCTCTCTTCGACCCTCTCTGTTCATATATCCGTTCGAATACGCGGTCGATTGCGGTGAGTATTCGTGTGTATAAGATCCTGGAAACAACATATGACACGAAGTTAAGTACGGCGCTGGGAACGGCACAACTTCGACATTTTTCTTATCAGGGTTCCTGCCACCCTCATATTTCAGCACGGTACTTCTGACTGAAAGAGAAGTTAATCTGCTCAGACGAAATAAAAAATCCGAGCGCTGGTGGCGGCACTTCATTACTTTCTAGAAAAAAAATGAAATAGAGCCCAAAATCAGGAGCGGCGCAGCCTACGCAATTTTCATATGTTATTGACTTATTACTGACTAGAACCGAAGTGAAATGGTAGAGACTAAATAAGAAACCCGAATTGTGTCGTCCCCGGAGCCCGGATTTTTTATTTAGTCTCAGCAGACTTACTTCTTTTTCCAGTCAAAAGTATTGTGTAAAATTTGCCCTTTCAAATTTGTCCTTTCACATGAGTCAAATTTGGTAGTCGAAGTTTGATCCCCTTTCTGTTGACAGATTGATCTGATATTTGGTACACACTTATGATGACAATACAATTTATTAAATTCTGCATCATTGTAAATCCAAGATGGCCGCAGCTACAAAATGACGGATTACATATTGTTTCACAACTCCCTCAATATGGGTATTAAATGAAAAGGCTTGACTTGTAGAATAGTAGTATAATTTGAAAAAGATGCAAATCCAAGATGGCCGCAGATACAAAATGGCGGATTACACGTTTTTTCACAACTACCTCGATATGGGTATCAAATGATAGGGCTTGATTAGTAGAATAGGAGTACACTTTGAAAAAAATGCAAATTCAAGATGGCCGCAGATACAAAATGGCGGAATACATATCACCTTGTAATACTAGAATGAGAAGAATTGAGTATACTTCTTAATACTTCCACTATTCTCTTTGCTGACGATACTTCTTTTATCAACACCTCTTCTAATTCACCTACTCTTTTAAAAAGGGCTAATAAATCCATTCACAATGCGAAAAGTTGATTTACCGCCAACCTCATGCAACTGAATGATCAGAAGACTCAAAAATTAATCATTTCAAGTAACAACAGCTTTACAACAGGTGAACATTGCAAACTTTCCGGTATTACAATCGATGACTCCCTTAATTAGTATATGCATACAGACATTTTAAATAAACGTCTATATAATATCTTGTTTCTAATTAGAAGGCTCCAATATATGGTCAGTCCAGAATTACTGACGAATACATATTTTGGTTTATTTCACTCTCGAATTAGTTATGGCACAATGGGGTAATTCCTGCCATGCCGCAAACATTTTCAGATCCCAAAAAAGGCTGTCAAACTGAGAAAAATGACGTTTTATATTTTCCAAACTGTCTGTGAAATACACGAAAATAAAAGGAACTATCCTTTTATCTTCGATATTCACACTCATGATACTAAATCTGTTGATCAAATAGCGTTGCCGCAATTTCGTTTAACTAAATCCAAAACGAACTCCATAAATTTAAAACTTTACAAGTTGACTTCAGATATGCGTTCACTGAATAATATCAAACTCAAAATAGCTATAATAGATATACTTTTAGATTTTAGACCATTGTTTTTATAGTATTGATGAATTTTTAAACAATTAATAATAATCTATCGATTAATAATATATTAAGCAATAATTATTCACTTGTATATTCATATTTGAGAACATATTCTAATATGTACGTTATATTATATTGTAATGTCCTTTTAAATCCAAAAGTTATGAAAAGGTTGTTTACCAGTTTATATATTACATGACTCTCTATGACTATTTTGTATGGATGACATGCTATAAACTTATTGTAAAACAGTCAAATAAATGAATCTATCTATATATCTATCTATTGAAAAAATATGAGATAATAATGATGTAGATAATGTGCTAAAAATAAAAAATTAATTCGGAAGGTTCCATTATTTTTTTTATCTGATCAATACCGTAGATTGCTGAGAAGAGTGGTGTGATGACTGCTACCTAGGACCTTCCGAATTATTTTTTAGTTTTCAGTACATTAGCTACATCATTATTATCTTTTTTCAGTAAAATCGTTTAACATTTTTCTAACAATTTTATTGATTTGGTGATCAGAAGTGAGTTCGTCTAAGCAAGAAGTTGAAAAACGTGAAAAATAGATATAAACCTCCTAAAAATAAGAGCAACGGCTAACTCTATTCGGAATGAGCCTTAGGGACATGTATTCTAAAAATTTTACAGTGAGTGAAGAATTACGATTTTTATAAACAAAATAATCGAGGAAAAATGAGGTAATCCCGTTTTTTGTTAATAACATTAAGATTATAAATATTTAAGGAATTGAACAAAGAGGTTTCTGAAGAGAAGAAAATTCCACATAAAAAAGTCTCGGCTCCCGGAAATGACCTCTATTATTTATAATTTTAATAGGGCTGAAAATAGGGCTCCGCGTGCCTGTTTCACCACAGACGCATAGCCGCTGAAGATAACGTTTCACGGAAAATATTGTTTTACAACAATGAATGTTCATTCCAAAATTTGAAAAAATCAGGGTTTATTTAAAACATTTCAATTAATAGACTTCCGCTGGAAAAAATGTATCCTCATTTTTCACGAAGTTATGCTTTTGGTAATTAATAAATGAATGTTTCGATTTCAAGGTTTTTTTATTCGTAGTCGTAATTTTTCACCTCATTTGTTTATACAAATATATACAAATTGTTTATAAAAAAATAGAGAAATTTTATACTTGAGAAAACATTTTTGCCATTCTGTTGAAATGAAAAAATAATGATAGAAAAAATCCTACAATTTTTTTCAAATTATTGATTATGTTATTTTAATTTACATACCTACTTTGAATAATAATTTAAGAAATATTTTTTCTCAAAAAATCGTTGTTTGTGTTGCTTGACACGATT